TAGAGCATGTGTAATCTTTCAATGTGTACAAGACATGTATGATGTTTCAATGTATATTTTACTAGTTTCAAAGTGAAATCGATAATCCATGACCCCAAACCGCATTTGGTTATTTTAAACGTATGACTGACATTTCTATTCAGTTAGTGTTCGTTTTAGTTCATTCACACTTGTAACCACGTGAAACTATCAGGATGAAGTTTTAACTACATTTCGACATTGTGGTCGACATATTTGTTGAAACTATAGTGAGCCACTCCATAATCCGCTAGAAAGCTACACTTCACTTCACAAAAAAGAAAAACGTAAGTAACAAGTATGACATTCAAAGCATAGCATGTGTAATCGTTTAGTGTGTACGAGTCATGTGTGATGTTTCAAAGCATGTTTTACTAGTTTTGAAGTGAAACCAATACCCCATGACCCAAAGCGACATATGATCGTTTTAAACGAAGAGTTACTGTTTAGGTTTTAGGGTATCAAATTTATGTTTTAGGATATAGGGTTTACAAAATAGAAAAACATGTAATTATTCAAAATGTACAAATTCATATATGATATTCGAAACACTATTTTATTAGTTTTGGAGTAAAATCAATACCCCGTGATGCAAAATGGCATCTGATCATTTTAAATAGAGGGTTTTTGTTTAGGGTACAGAGTTTAAAAAACAGAAAAACATGTAATTGTTCAAAATGTACAAGTCTTATATGATATTCAAAACATATTTTACTAGTTTTGGAGTAAATTTGAGACCCCTTGATCCAAAATGACATGCTATCATTTTACACGTAAGGGTGCCATTTAGGGGATAGAGTATACAAAAACATAGCACGTATAATCGTTCAATATGATCAAGTGAAGTTGAGATCCTATTACCCAAAACCACATATTGTCATTCCAATACTTGTTTCTTAGTGAGATCGAGGCCTCATGACACAAAACAACGTGTTGTCATTTTAAATGTATAACTATCGTTTTCCAGATTGGTTAAATTTGCGTAGTTAATAATACAATTTGTTTTTCCATTACATAAATATACAAGCTATCATAAAACTACAACTATGTTTCAACCCTGACTACTTCAATGTTTGAATAAAACATTCATATAATGAAAAAAATTGCAAAATTTTATAGTTGCACTAGTCAACGTCCTTTACAAAATCAGCATTCATACACTTGTTTTCCAACTAAATCATACAAAAAAATTCCCATCTAGACAAAATTAGCATCTAAGTCATTTATCCTCCGATCACAAAAAATTGAAAAAAATACAAAGAAAACAATTATGTTAATTTCGGAGTGAAATCGAGAATGTAGCCCAAAATGGCATGTACTACTTATCTATGAACATCATCTAACATCTCCCAAACGTAGTCAAGTTTTTTTAAGGGAACACTTCTGTGAAGGTTTCATTTTAATTCTATCTTCAATGATAATCACATACTTAAATGGGCGTTCCATTTTTACAATAAAAATCATAAAACGATTATGTTAATTAATGGGTAATTAGCACAAAACATCCCTACCTTTCGTTGTTTTTGTGGAAACTGTCCCTACCTTTCATTTTTTGGTGGAATACACCCTTACCTTTACATTTTTTTGCGTAAAACGTCCTTCTGTCAACTCTCCGTTAAAATGCTCCGTTAAATTAAAAAGGTAATTAGCACAAAAGGTCCCTACCTTTCAAAGTTATTGTGAAAAACGTCCCTACCTTTTATTTTTTAGCATAATTAGCAGAAAAGGTCCCTACCTTTCAATATTATTGTGCAAAACGTCCTTACCTTTATTTTTTAGCATTTACACCCCTACCTTTCACCTTTCATTGCAAAAAAGGTCATTCTCATCTATTTTTTCAATAAAATGACGATTTTACCCTCCTATTCAAATAAAACAAAAAGAAAAGATGAATTACCAACTGCAACCATAATCCTTAAATTTTTAAAAAATTACAAAAAATCATAAATTCTCAACCACCACCATTTTCACAACCTATCAAGCTACCAACTATAAATCCACATAATACCAATTTTCCGCCACCATGCCCACCGGACTCCACCGTAAATGTTGTTGTTTCGGACAGATTGGTGACCAATACTATGGAGGAGGATATTGGGAGAGTGAGGCGACGCTGGTGGTGGTGGAGTCCTATGTGTTGTGGTCGAAAAGTGGTGCTATATGGATTTATAGGTGGTGGCTTGGTGGGGTTGTGAAAGTGGCGATAGTGGAGAATTTAGGATTTATCTATAATGTTTTGAAAGATTTAGAACTATGATTGCAATTAATTAATTATTTTTTTCTTTTCTTTTTGTTTTATTTCAATAGGAGGGTAAAATCGTTATTTTATTGAAAAAAATGGATGAAAAGGACCTTTTGCGCAATGAAATGTGAAATGTAGGGATAAAAATGCTAAAAATGAAAGGTAGGGACGTTTTGCACAATAATATTGGAAGGTAGGGACCTTTTCTGCTAATTATGCTAAAAATAAAAGGTAGGGACGTTTTGCACAATAACTTTGAAAGGTAGGGACCTTTTATGCTAATTACCTTTTTGATTTAACGGAGCATTTTAACTGAGAGTTGACAGAAGGACGTTTTGCGCAAAAAAATGTAAAGGTAAGGGTGTAATCCACCAAAAAATGAAAGGTAGGGACGTTTTCCACAAAAACATCGAAAGGTAGGAATGTTTTGTGCTAATTACCCTTAATTAATCAATGAACAAATGTGAAAAATTTACAGTCATGTTAAGTGATTCTTAGTACAATTCATTTTCAAAAATAGATAAACGACAAAGTGACATTTTCGTAATTTCATAAACGACGGGGTGCTATTTCTAGAACTGATAGAAAGAGGTCTACTTAATCTCGTTAACTATCACAAGTTAAATAAATTTGCAAAACTTTGCTTATACAACTTTAGTTTTATCCAAAACCAGAATCTTTACATGCCTAATTCCCAATTAAAAGAGGCATATTGGCAGCATAATTTCACATTTCTCTCCATGTAAGAAGAAAACAAGACACTAAGTTGTTGCACTAGCATAGCAGGTCCTTATACTTTGTAATTTATAATTTGTAGCATAATACCAACCAAATACTGCCTAAAAAGCAAGTCAAACACAAAACGAGCATAATTTATGATTTCAAGCATAATTGACATAATCTCGAGCAATCGTTGGCAATACACAAAACGCCACTTGAAACAATGTCTGAGCATTATCTCCTTATATTTCATTCTATATAACTGTACGTTTTATGATATGAATGCTTGCCAATACGTTGAGTGTGTCTACTAGATTCAACTTCCTATATCCCATATTTATGACTTGTGCATCCAGATTTTTTTCCTCAAAAGAAAAAAAGTGAATGGACTGTAGTCACCCATTTCTCTAATGTTTGTTCCACCTTTTTTTTTTCAGTTGCTAGTATGCTACAAATGGGTAGCATAATTCTCTTTCGTTCCATAAAAACAAAGAATTCAGTCATAATGCCGAGCAAAGCTCAGGTACTTTAAACTTAGATACACAAAAGTTGTTCTTTGTGCTAAAATTGTTATACTTGTTCGAAAATACTCACTTCTCAAACAATTAAATACATAACGTACTAGCATTCAAATTAGTAGTAGAGCAATGACGAAAGTAGAGATAATTTTACTTGACATTGTTCCGAACAGGTAACGAAGATGCATCACCAGGATCGATTGATGACATCTCAAGCATAGCTCAATCGTGGTCATGAACAAATACTGATCTGTACTTGCATCCTCCCATACCCCTGCTAGACGAAATCTCATTATCATCCGAACTTTCTATTTCTTCTCCATTACTATTATTACTCGCCATTGCATTGATTCTAATCAATCAATCAATTGGATCTAAGTGTATACATGTGATGCGAGGGTTAAGAAGAAGAGAGAATTTAGATCCAATCGATCTCTAACTATTCAAATGGGAAGATTGAATACCGTTCTAGAGAGGAGATGAATATGGTAAAGGGAAATGAAAAGGGAAAAATATGTTTTGATAGAATGAGGGTAATTTAGGTAGTTTGCTTTTTTTCCTAGTCAAAGGCTAAATTTGCAAAGTGTATTATAAGATAGGCCACGTGACCAAATTTCCAAAGTTTAATCAATAATTAAAAATATTGTGTAAAATTAAATGTCTGTTTAGAATTTTAAACCCAACAAACCCTGCCTTCATTTCTTATGACTCTCCCTTGATGATAGATTTCCTCGTTACGATTACTTCTATTTGCCTTCTAACTGTCGAAAACAAAAGAATGACATATTTTTTCTCCAAAAAATAAGAATTTCGTAATCAACTTCGAATAAAAAAATACATACACGGTCACCTTGCCTATCATCTTCTTTTTTTTTTTTTTTTTTTTTTTTTTTTATCTCCATTAATTAATTAATTAGTGCTTAGGTTTTGATGTTGGTAGGTAATGAGTTAGTTGACAAAAAAATGGATTTCATCTAATAATTAATTGTACTTTCCACGTAACATATATAAACATGATTTTGCCTTTCCATTGAATTTTCGTGAAGATAATATAAAACTTTTCTATTTATAATTTCCTTGCTCCTCTAGCAAATTAAATTTAAGGTAAAGAAGTTAGACTCGAAACTATGACAAGAGACACTTTCAATTTGCGTGAACATCACGATTGCAGGTACTAACCATGCGGTCAGACATTCAAGTATCCAAATGACTTTGCATGTACACGACAATATCAATGTGAATTATGTCAAGTACTGTGTATAGAAATAATCGTCAATGCCAAGTTAACACAAACCATAAGCCGTCTTTTGTCAAATTTTGAAACAACACAGTTGCTAAATATTTTTCACTTTCAATTTTCATTTTTGAAGTGATCAATCAACATTGACATTTTTTTAATAAATAGGACTCAAATGTTACATAAATTAAAAACTAGGACCTATTTGTTAAAATAAGAAAATTTAAATCCGAGCCCAGAATGTCCGGTTGTCCACGACACAACAAAGATACTTCTAGTTTCAGTTCTTCTTACATGTATGATATTCAACACCCGTGAAAGAAGATAAGGTTTTTCCTTTAAACCTCTTCCAAAACACACACTGGACTTGATCAGTCACTGCAATTTCATATCAGGAAAAATCCCACCAAATCATCCATGAATTTTATAAAAGAGCAAGAAAATAATACTGTTACTGATACGCAAGATCGCATTTGCGATTTCTGCGGAGAAACCAAGGCCCTTTTGTACTGCAGAGCCGATTCTGCTAAGCTCTGTCTGGGTTGCGACAGGGAAGTACACTCGACAAACCAGTTGTTCAAGAAACACATACGTTGCCTCCTTTGCGACAAATGCGATTCTTCGCCTGTTTCTATTTATTGTTGTACTGAATCATTAGTGCTTTGTCAGAACTGTGATTGGGAGAAGCATGATAATTTTAGGTTAATCCATGATCGTCGCCCAATTGAGGGGTTTGATGGGTGCCCATCAGTGAGTGAGTTGATGAGTATATTGGGATTTGAAGATTTGGGGAAGAAAAAAATGTTGGGTGATGGGGATATTGAAGGTGGGAATGAAGGGCTATTTTCGGAATTGATTTGGGAGACTCCTTCTATTGTGAGTCTTGATGATTTGATTGTTTCGACTGATAATTGTGTCGATGCTGGGCATAGTTTTCAGGCTATGGGTGTTCCTCCTTTACCTAAGGTTTGTTCGTTTTGTTTGTAGATGTTCTTGATTATGAAGGTTGGGTTTTTAATTTTTGTTATTTGATACTATGAATGGTCAGGATTTTGTGGTTTCACCAGTTCTTTTGTTTGATTATTCGAGCTTAACAGGCGTTTGCCAGGTTTTAAAATGTCTGTGCGCGTTTATAAGCAGCATTTTTTACGGCTTTCCTTAGCATCATTTGGGGACATATTGTCAAGAACTGCTATTAAAATTGCATCTTTTGATATTTGTTACTTTGTATTAAAAAAATTTCTTTTCATATCAGATCATTTTGTCGAAATGGGAGCAGCCAAAATCGATCGAACAGCATAATATATAAATAAGTCAGGATGTTAAACTATGTTATTATGGGCTATGTTCTTTTTGTATTCGAGAGGGATTCTTATTTGTAATTATTTTGCTTGAGTTGATTAGCTTTCGGGTCCTTGGAGTTCTTCTCTTTGAGCTCGGTGCTGTGTTTTGCATTGCACCGGAATAGCATTACAATTCGACAGAGTAATAAGGGATATATGCAGATAAAGATTTGCTGCATCCTGAACTGGCTGTTTTATCTGGATATGTTCCCTTCATATGTTTGCGACTAAATGAAATTGCGTGCTTAATGCTGAAATTGCGTGCTTAATGATCTTGAGCCTTTCATGGATTTTGACCTTCTTCATGATATTGTTATTGTATCAGAATCGAAATGCTGTGTGTGGAAAGCACAGACAAGAAATCCTTTGCCAACTTCGTGAAATGGCAAAAAATGAACCAAACTTTGATGATCTCACGGAAGACTTCAAACCCAATTTTACACTGGAATCACAAGTGCCTGGTGGAAAATTTCAGTTAAAGGATAGCTGTCCAGGCCTTGAACGCTATGTGGAGCCAGCATTAGGTCCTTATCACGAGGTAAATCATCCAGAACACATGATCGATAAATGGTTATTGTTCCCCCTTTAACTCCTATTTTCATTTTTCTATTGTCATCAATACATGTTAGTTAGAGCATGTTTGGGAAATGCGTGAAAGCAGTAATATATAGTGGAACGTATGTGCAGGAAAATGCATTTCTGTTGTGCGGTAATAGTGGTAGCTACATTGACACAAACCATTTAGTACCTGATAAGGATTCAGATGTTGGTGACAGTCCATTTCAAGCAAATGGAGGCCAGGAAGGTCAATCACATGTTCCTGTTAATTCTAAACCCTTTGAAGCAATTCCTAAAGTGGCAGCACGGGAACTGAACAGCCAGGAACGAGACTTTGCTCTCTCACGATACAAAGAAAAAAAGAAAACTAGGAGGTAATGTTACATGGTCCGAGTGTCATAATCTAGACCGTCTTTCTTTCACTCTTCGTTGAATGACTCTGAACCATCATAATTGGCTCTCATGAATACCCCTTGACTGATATCTTTCTCATGCCCAAGTATAAAAAATGTTGACATTTGGCCATTACTTGGCTCCAGTTTCACTACCTCTGTGCGAATGTTCTTTCATTTTCTAAATATTACACTTGATATACTCAACGGTGTCCTGATTATTTTCAAATCATTCCTTTTTCAATTTATTTTCTCCACACTATGCCCTTAGAAATATTTCAAGTTCTCATCCTCATTGCCTTGACACACATGTAAGGTCTCTCATTTTTTCTATTTGATTTTGGCTAGTCTATAAACTTCACTACTGCCTTCCTTTCTAAGTTTTTTTATAACTTTACATATGTTTTGAATTCAACTCTTTTATAACCTTTTTATGCTTCCTTGTTTTCTTTTGTACTTTCCACGGTTTTTCATCCCAATTTTCTTGAGGAAATAATAGCATTTAGGTTTCCTGAAGACTGCCTCCATCATAATCCAAAAATATTATTGGAAATCACATTTATGCAATTAATATTTTTTATTGAACTTATTGTTACATTTACAGGAACGAGAGAGAAAATTATCTGTGGATAATGTTTTCAGGAAGATTTTGTTGTTCTGTATTTTTTGTCGGTTGGAATTGTGTGCAATGGTTTAAACTATGACATTTTGTTTCTGAAAGAACAGGTTTGATAAGCACATCAGGTATGAGTCAAGGAAAGTACGGGCAGAGAGTCGAACAAGAATTAAAGGACGTTTTGCCAAGATCGATCGCTGAGACACTGCTACACAATGGGACAAAAAGTCTTGCAGAAAGTAGGATAAGAACTATAGGACGAGACTCTTATTAGATTTTTACTAGTTTATGTTGTGCATTCAAAAATTATTATATATTCACCCCCTTTGCAGGTAGTACACTTGCTATAGTTTGTATATTCCTAGGTTAAAATTGATTTATAGACTTCTAGTTCATGTTATGAAATGTAGCGATGTATCTTCTTCAGATGGTACAATGAATTCTGTGTGTAAACTATAGCTTCTAAATATGAATAATGAAATGTGATGCTTAAGTTTTGTTTATGAAGATCATGTTTTTCCTTATATTTTCAATCCAAGCGTAAGTGTTGGATGATCGTATAATTGGTCTAAAGGAAATGTGAGGATCCATATAGCATGATAAACTGCATCCCCAGGATGTTTTATACAGTAATATTGAATCATCCACCTTACCAAATTTTTCGTGTAACAGTATTGACATGATACTGTGTTCAATAAGAATTTAGTTTCTTTTTTTCTTTAATATTATTTAAGTAACACGTACGTCTAACATATATTGATATAAGTTAGATCATGTGGATCTCTTGTGGATATTGAAATTAGAAATAATCACGAGCAAAAGGAAGACGAGCGATCCAAGCATGGACAAGACGATAGAAATTTCGCTCTGAATACAATATTTCTTAAAAATGTGGCATACTTTGTTCCATTGCACGTGCGAGTTCCCGATAAGGGCTATGACTTCGACAGTCGCTCCGTTGGCCGAGAAGAGCACCGCCACCATGGTTAAGTCAATTGTATATAGAACCATTGCAGTATTGCCATTTTTGTTGCACAGAGAGTACAAGCAAGCTATGCAATTTGACACCACAAAGTCCCTGACATTGAGTTGTAATTTGTAACAACTCAGAATTGAAATCAACATGTGGTCCAGTGTGTCAACAATTTAATACATACCAATGGGTTAATTAATGCAATTAATCGAGTAATTGTGGTGTCAAGTTGGGTCGATCCAATAAATATTTGTTAGTCGACGTCAAGAATAGGACTTTTTTTGGTCGACTAAAGGTTCAATAGATTTATTCTCACAATCAAGTGATTTGATCAATTGATTCGAAATCATCTCCACTTCATTCAAATTTATCTCGTCTCCTTCACGATTGATTGTTGGAAGAGTTTTGTAACTTTTGTACTAGCAAGTCAAACTCCTTGAACCCATCGCCTTTGAACCGTCAGTTGCTCCGCCATTGCTCGCCGTCAGCTGGTGTCTCTCCATGAAGTGATCAGGGAACGCTGATCTACTTGGAGAAATTAAAGTGCTTATATATATACACGCAAGCATACATAGTACTTAAAATGGCAAATTTGTTGACTGCATTAAAGGCCAATAAACCAACCAATTTATTGGCTATGGCTCAAAGAATTAATATAAGTTATTGTTTTTGTTTTTAATTGGGATTATTACTTTTTTTTTCGTTTCTTTTAATGAATTAATAGTAGAATAATTATTGTTGTTTTCAATTTATTGGTTTCTGGTTGTTGGGAATTTTTTTTTTAGGGAAATGGTGGTTGAACAAGGAAAGTATGGACAGACTGAGTTGACAGCATTGATTGAATTATTATTTTTTTCAAACTGTCCATTCATGTTTCGACACGTGTCCTCTCGTTTTTAACCCTGTTTTTGTAATCTCTCTCTCTCTCTCTCTTTCTAATACTTGCTCTATGAAGTCACAATCAAAACCTTAATATAATGTGGCTACCTACTCATAATCTATAAATATTATATAGGAACGTATACGCAATAAGATAGTATCTCATATGATCTACTAAGTACCTCTCGGCACATATGTCGAGCAAACCATAGAAGTTGATATCGAGATTCAATTTGGCAACTCATAAACCGTCCACCACGTAAAGCTCGGTAGCCTACTAACTAAGGAAGCTCCATATTCTATTTAAGCTGACAAGGCTTGAGTGGAATATTGAGATCATCAAATCAAGGAGCTTTTTTTCGATAGTGAACAAGCCTCTAGCCCCAATGGGAGTAGTGACTAGCTTTATAGGTCGTTGACGAATAAGTCAGTTTTGGGAACTGAAGACAGTTTTGGATATATTGTCATCTCGTACGTGAGTCTATATCTTCTCTTACGAACATATAAGAATGTGATGGGGACTTAAAAAGTGACGCGACATAACAATTGATTATAACTCATTTGACGTGATATCCCATTTCCTCCTAATTTTGTAATGAAATTTCTCCCTTCAAGTCATTACGAAGCAAATATACAAAAACACACTCTATTTTACCATATTTCTTTACACTTCTAATTGATCATCAAAATGGAATCAGTCATTACCCTCGCGAATGTGGTGGAGGAGTTCACTTACCGTACCGAGTATTGTTTTGCAGATAATCGAAAAGCGAATATCTTCAATTGATCGAAAAGTCCAACCAAATTTTGAGGTCAACAAACACTTTTAGCCCCCGTTTGAAAGATATGCAAAACCTTAAAAAATGTTTTCTGAAAAAAATAATTTTGAATAAAAACAACATTTAACAGCCACAACTACCCATGGAAGTGGGCAATAAAATAAAACGTACGATGAAAATTCCACCTCCTAAGTCCTATCTATAGGTATGGCTATAGAAAATGCTTCGAAATCAATATACGCAAGTACCGACACTATGAAAATTTGTCTCGCGAAAAGGCTATATCTAATATCGGCCATTTGATTTGTAAGATACACTAAGCACGAGACTTTGAAGGAGCTATCATAATATCATATGCGACATCATCACGTTATTAAAAAACTTTAATACAAAATTTTTATAGTTGAAATTTCAGAAACTTTACAGACTTTGAACATATATGTAGCTTCATACCCATATTGTCCCATTTCTTAAACTTATAGTTCTGCCTAGATGTAAGAAGGGGAAGGAGATCTATGTATTTTATTGTGAAAGTTAGATAACCGCAATGAACGGTATAAAAATTGAGTGTACGATATCAATAAACAAATAATATAGAAAAATAGAGTATTATTTTCATGAGGACTATTCATTCTATCTGATTACCGGTTTAACTAAGCATGGGCTCTCTATTGAAGGTAAATAAAAGTGCTAACACATAAATTAACTAAGAAAACAACTAAAAAAATGCAAAAATTAATAATTGGAGTTTTTACTTATGGGTGAAAAGAACTAGAGTTCTTGATTTCATCTTAGTTATCTCCCTTAATTTTCATCATCAAGTTCCAACAATAATCAAACACATGCATTCGATCAATTTCATTTAATACCGCAACAATATCATAAGCTTATCTTAGTAGCTAATTACTTAAAAACAGTGCTAAAAAAAATTAAAGAGCTGAAAGAAGAAATTAAGGTTCCAACTAGATTACATCATCCGCCTCAGTGTTGAGTGTTTTAGCTTTCTGCTGATTATCGTTTACTTATGGCAGGCAAAAGAAGCAACGAGGCAGTCCACGTGAACAGCAAGCAGAGCCATATTAATAGCACCAAGAAGTTGCAACTCATTTAAAAACATAAAAAATATGTCCAAAAAAATCTGCCTGGTTTTCCATAAACTTGACAGAAAATACAGTGTGTAGAAAATAGTAGACAATGTACTTAGTGTTCGATGGCAAAGAATTGAAGCCTCAGAATTGGAACAAAGTTCAAGTTTGAATGAAATTGTGCGAATTTCAATGTTCTAAACATGACGTGATCAAATTATGGCATTAAGTTTGTTAACATAGCACCTGATTTCATTCACAAGCAGTTCTGGAGTCAAAGCTGCTGAGACAAATGGCAAATGCCTGGAAAGCAGAGATTGGGTACTGATAGTCCATTGTGAACACATCCTTTGCCACTTTTCCGAATTGGAGAATAACATCCTCGTGCTCTTGTCCACCGGCTCCATTCTCAACAAAAGCAACCAGCTGAAAGTTCTTCACAGAAGCAACTGTTACACGTCCATTGAAGTTGAGACACCAGCACTGGAGTTGTTCGTTCCATCTGGGAGACTTGTTTTTCAAACTTAGCATCTCGACTTCAAATGTTGATAATGGTCCAGATTGAAAACTATCTACGGAAGTTGATTTTGATCTGAAAAATGGAATGGAAAGAAAGGAATCTCGGTTGCCAAGCGGGAAATCACTTCGTACAGGAACCATACCTCCGGGTTCAATCGCAGAACTCGGTATAGAATCCATGACGCACTGCATTCGCCTTGGACCCCTATACCCACATTATATATTTACGTTCGTGAGGAAGAGTAACTAAAACAAGGACCTCATCCGAGTTTAACACAGACAAATGTTGAAAAATATGTTTGGCAAATAATTCACTTTCTTATAAGCTTTAGGACCCACAAATTGTATGGACCACACATAACTATGGTTTCCTCAGCTCATAAGCCAAGTAAATTGGGCTATAAGAGAGTGAATTATTTGTCAAACATGGTGCTTGTTTGGGAAAACTTATATCACCTTATAATTTAAAGGTCAAAATCAAACTATATTTTTAACTACAAATTTCACCCACAGCTACTACCAATTTATCCACTACTCATTTCTATCACATAATAACTTCAACAGTTTATAAACAAACCCAAATAAGCCAATGCTAAATAGTATATTCGCAAGATAATCCCTCACCTTGAACCCAAGATGTTCACCTCATATGAAATGTGGGCCACAGGATAGTTGCCAGAAGGGACCATGCGAGAGACTAGTTTCATTCCAGCTAACTTTGTGGAATGAGATTTCGTAACTTTGGCACCGGCATTTGGGGGCTGTACATCATAGATTGTGAACTTGGTCCGCAAAAAATTAGATCTGTGATTAAGGATCCCTAGGAAATTTCAATCTGAAATTTGAGGTTTAGAAAGCATTAAAGTCACATGCAATCAAAATTTACCTTAACTTTCCGACATAGAATGTGCTGTCTTTTGATGCATCATCAGCAATTAGAGATATTATGTACTCTGTATATGCTGTGCATCTAAATCTTTGAGCAGAAAGAAGGAACTTCCCATCATCATTAGAAGCTGTCAAAAAATTAAGTTCTTGTTACATTTGAAAATCAGATGAGGAAACAATGGTGCATGACTTAATTAATAGCTATTAAATTTCATGCATCCAAATATGCACAAATTTAGTTGTGAAATAAATAGAATCCATTGAAATAGATGAATAATCTTCACCTTGATTCAAATTGAGGTAAAGGTGATATGTCTGCGTATCACGATTCCTTTTGATGAAACATTGAATTAGGGTGTTTCTTGGACCAGGCTACAGAAAAACAATCAAAAATGTTTTGGTATAATATAAAAATAAGGAAAGAAAAAGACAAACAAAAAATGCATCCGTTCTAAAGGAATACAAATTGTTAAACCCAAACCATTCAAAAATTTAGTGTACAATATGAAACGTGTTCAAATGGAATCTGACAACCCCAAAGCAAGTTTACACTGCAACAACTTGTTGCTGGCTTGGTTTATAAGGCAATAGTGTTGAACAGAAACCTCAAAAGCATATTGCTTAACACAGTCTGTATATCATCTGATTCCGGTGAAAGTGAATTCAACTTCAAATATACAGCAAGTGAGTTCATGAACTCCTCTCATATCTTCACCACAATGGATGACCCGAAAAATGACAAGTGGAGATATACCGTCATATGCTAAAGACAGAAATTAAATGTATTGATAGGAGAAGATTAGATAACCTCATTTAGAATAAATTAAAAATGCATTTAAGAGAGATTTGTGGGCTTCACTACATATTGATATGGCTTCGAGTGGAATTTACTAGCGAATTTGAATTTGATGGATGATTTTTCTTTTTTCGTCAAGTAGCAAGGAACATTTTTACAATGTTAACCTTGAAATTTCTTCCTTCCATATTCCTGTTCACAAAAATTGCTTTGGAAAGGACCATTATACTCCTCATAAGTACAAATATATGAGAAAAATTTTGCAAGAAACCATGGTTACCGAACCCCACAATTGGTTGCTAACTTGATATCATTGGACTGTGATCTGTACACACATGATTTTGTTGATGGATATTGGCAAATAAAAGTGTCACAGTGAATATATATTTGGGCAGAGTAACAACGTTTGGATGGTTTTGAATGGTCGAGACAAGAGTTCGACTTTTTTTCCTTAAAACGATAATACCCCGCACTGGTACTGACGGTATTACAGCACTCGTCTCCCAAAATACAACGACCTCGTCTTGTAATAGTAGTACTCCACATTACAAGATCCGACGAACCCCTAAAGTTTAGATCTCTCCACACAAACTGGATAACTAAAATGCATGGAAAATAATTTTCGAGGACTGAATTATAAAAATAGAAATGATGCAGGGACAATGGGATAACATAAAATATATTATTATTATTATTAAATAATAATATAATTCAAATGTTATTTTACCAAAAAATATATATCAGCACGACCCACGACTCGGCCGAGCCGGACGGCTGCAGCGACGGCGCGCGTGGGCTTTGGCTTAACCTACTAGTATGCAGGTTCTCTCCCCCTCAAAGACTATTGGTACCCCTTGAAGCCCAAACCCAAGTCTCAAACTTGAGTTATATAAGGTGGTTTATATTCTTCTAATTTTTCTATGTGAGATTGTTATTTTCCAATTTTCCACCTATTTTATTTCAATAGCAAGTGGGCATCTTTTGGCCTTAATTTCTCATTCACCCTAAATTGGTTTTGAGAAAATAAATATGTCATATTAATCTACTCATGGAGTAGAACACATTTGGCCAAAGAAATCTTATATCGGATTAACGGGACCCACTAAATTATTTGTTCAAAAGTTGGTCAAACCAACTAATTAAAACCCAATTTTTCCAACAGATTTTGCTAGTAATGGACCATTATTCTTATTAGTCCCAACCATAATTACCAAACACGCTACAAAATTACGAACATCTGTACCTAGAGTTGCATCAAAGCATGTAATTTATACGGCTCATTAAAATCATTAATACAATGAAGCAAAATAAAATTCTTAATGGTACTGAACCTGCTTCAGGGCAATGGGGAATGTCAACTTGCCGGAGACTTCTAGGCTTCTTGTTATTTCCTTCATGATTTCTCTCCAAATCCTACAAACACCCGCACAAGCAACCACATTCTTTCTCTGGGGCCAATTACAACCGGATTCCTCAACCCGCGTCAATATACCCCTCAAGAGCTCCAAAGGCAAATTGGCCAAACAATTCAGTTTCAAACTATCCTTGGCAGTAATTGAACCATCAAGAACCATCGGCGGTAACCCATCATAAAACTTCAATTCAGACCTAGTCCACGACAGACTCCCAATCCCCATATCGTGAATTATACTCCTGAATAACATAATTAAAAAGAAAACTATATGAAATTCAAACACATTTTCTAATATATATTAAACTCAATTATGATAAATCAACAAAACCCCCAAAAGGTAAACCCTAAAGATTAATTTTTTTTAATTGAAATCTCCAATAACTATGTGGAATCCAAACAAATAATTTCTATAGAGATTAAATTAAATTATGGTTAATCAGTAAAACCCACTAAAGATAAAACTTAAATGTCCAATCTTTCATTGAAATCTAACTAACTCATCTAACCACAATAAAAACCATCTTCCAAAAATATTACTTTATCATTCAGGAGAATGCTGCGGCACATACCGGAAAACAAGCTGAGAAGCAGTACAAGAACAGATGCTTGCAAGCTGTATTCCTTTGACAAAAAATGTATATTCAAAACATCAATCTACTGTTCATATTCTAAAAGAACATTGAAGATCATTTTTATATGGATTGCAAAACAAAAAACAAAAACAAAAACAAACAAATTAAAGTTACGTGCCTGGCTATGTAACAGAAGATTATAACCGAAGAAGTAACATGCCGAGACAAGTGTTATCCATCTGCTAGAACTCAGTTTGGAACTATCATGGCTGTTTTCGAGTTAATTGTTCCATTGGTTATTCATCTATTTGATTGGCCAACAAAATTTAAAATGTCGAGTTTTGATCACTGAATTTAGGTCATGTCTTCAATTACTCACTGAAATTTAAAATGTCGAGTTTTGACCAATGAACTTTGAAAAATATTGTGTTTTGATCATTGACTTTAGGTTCATGTCTTAGATTGCTCATTGAAATTTAAAATGTCGAGTTTTGATCACTGAACTTTGAAAAATATTGTACATTACTCACTGTAAAACTTGATATTTTTCAAAATTCAATAGTTATGCCAATAACTAACGTATGACATATTTCAAATTTCAGTAGCCAAAACTTGACATTTTAAATTTTAATGAGCAATCTAAGATATAGATCTAAATTCAGTGAGCAATCGAAAACATTAACCTAAGTTCAGTGACCAAAATACGATATTTTAAATTTTAGTAACCAATCAAAAATATGAACATAAGTTCAGTGAGCAATCGAAAATATGAACCTAAGTTCAATGACCAAAATTCAACATTTTAAATTTCAGTGGTCAATCAAAGACATGAGCCTAAATTCAATGACCATTGAAACGATTAACTCGTTGTTTTCTCTTCCTCCACTTTTGCAAGTTAACGTAGTTTTAAATTTTAAAAAGTCGCTTATTTTAAAATTATTCTTAATTTACTATTAAAATGATAGAATATTAGTTTTTTTTTTTTTCTCTTTACAGAATTATTTTGACAAAAATTTTGTGAAAAGTAATTTTTTTAAAGAGTGTTATTTAAAAATATGAAAAAAATGGATCAAATTGTTAAATTATTTTATTAAAAAAATATACTGACGATGAATTTGAAAAAATAAAAAATAAATTCTCGAAAATGTGGTCAAACAAGGGCCAAGGGAATGAATCCAATATCTGCACACATTTCATTTGCCAAATAAAGTGAACACTAACAAAGAAGGTTATATTTCGGATTGTTGACGTAAAAAATTATGATGACTAATTTTTAAGCCAACTTTAAGAAAAATGAGCCTTAATATTCATATAGAGAGATCAATTTGTACACTTTTCTATCTCTTTTTTCTTCAAAAACCCTCTCCCCCCTTTGGAGGGGATCATTTTTCACTATTTATAAGAGGCTTGCCTGAAATTATGTCGTTTCAATCAAATCGCTAACCTCTACCTTAATTGGTTAATGAGATCGATAGCCATCACATCACTGTTTCCTTCAAGTAATAATGGATTGAAAAGGATGGGGAAGTTAAGGCGATTGATTGGTGGGTATAGGCAATGCTGATGTCATTTTCTACAAGTGTATGTGATTGAAGGGGTGATGTGATAGGATATAAGAAATCTACAATCATTATGTCTTTTGAGGTTACAATAACAATATACTAAGTTAAGCTTTTAGGATCCAGCTCAAACATGTATGAGGTGAGCCCAATGAGCAATAGATATGAGATCGTAGGTCGGTCGTCAACACAGATAATTAGCATAAAACGTCTCTACCTTTCAATATTATTTTACAAAATGTCCTTACCTTTTATTTTTTGACATTTTACCCCTATT